GAATGAACACCTGGGCAGTCTGTCCTGAGATGGATGAACACCTGGGCCATGCCGTCCTGAGATGGATGGACACCAGGGCAGTCTGTCCTGAGATGAATGAACACCTGGACCAGTCTGTCCTGAGATGGATGGACACCTGGACCAGTCTGTCCTGAGATGGATGGACACCTGGCATGCTGTCCTGAGATGGATGAACACCTGGGCCATGCTGTCCCGAGATGGATGGACAACTGGGCCATGCTGTCCTGAGATGGATGGACACCTGGGCCATGATGTCCTGAGATGGATGAACACCTGGGAAGTCTGTGCTGAGATGGATGTTCACCTGGGCCATGCTGTCCTGAAATGGATGGACACCTGGCATGCTGTCCTGAGATGGATGGACATCTGGGAAGTCTGTGCTGAGATGGATGGACACCTGGACCAATCTGTCCCAAGATGGATGGACACCTGGGCAGTCTGTCCTGAGATAGGGAACACCTGGGAAGTCTGTGCTGAGATGGATGGACACCTGGACCAATCCGTCCCAAGATGGATGGGCACCTGGGCAGTCTGTCCTGAGACAGATGAACACCTGGGCCATGCTGTCCTGAAATGCATGAATACCTGGGCCATGCCGTCCTGAGATGGATGGACACCTGGGCCATGCCATCCTGAGATGGATAGACACCTGGACCAGTCTGTCCTGAGATAGATGAACACCTGGGCCATGCTGTCCTGAGATGGATGGACACCTGGGACATGCCATCCTGAGATGGATGGATACCTGGGCCAGTCTGTCCTGAGTTGAATGAACACATCGGCCATGCCATCTTGAGATGGATGAACACCTGGGCTAGTCTGCCCTGAAATGGATGGACACCTGGGGCATGCCATCCTGAGATGGATGGACACCTGGGTCATACTGTCCTGAGATTGATGGACACCTGGGCCATGTTGTCCTGAGATGGATGGACACCTGGGCCATGCTGTCCTCAGATGGATGAACACCTGGGCTATGCTGTCCTCAGATGGATGAACACCTGTGCCATGCTGTCCTGAGATGGATGAACACCTGGGCAATGCCGTCCTGAGATGGATGGACACCTGGGCCATGCCATCCTGAGATGGATGAACACCTGGGCAATGCCGTCCTGAGATGGATGGACACCTGGGCCATGCCGTCCTGAGATGGATGAACACCTGGGCCAGTCTGTCCTGAGATGGATGGACACCTGGGACATGCCATCCTGAGATGGATGGACACCTGGGTCATACTGTTCTGAGATGGATGGATACCTGAGCCATGCCGTCCTGAGATGGATGAACACCTGGGCCATACCATCCTGAGATGGATGAACACCTGGGCAGTCTGTCTTGAGATGGATGAACACCTGGGCCATGCCGTCCTGAGATGGATGAACACCTGGGCCAGTCTGTCCTGAGATGGATGAACACCTGGGCCAGTCTGTCCTGAGATGAATGGACACTGGGGCCATGCCATCCTGAGTTGAATGAACACATCAGCCATGGCATCCTGAGATGGATGAATACCTGGGCCAGTCTGTCCTGAGATGGATGTCCTGGTTATGCACATTTCTTTATATTATTAGCTTAACTTTAGTGCTGTCCTAGAAAGATTTCCTATACTTTCCTCCCTTCAATCAAAATATCCCAACTTCAGCAGGTCTGGCTCACTGCTGTCTGTTCATCTAAGGTCTACTTTGTTCAGGAATTCCTGTCTAGTTCTCAGGCAGGACCAAGGAAATCTTTTAGTGACATTTTAAATGTCACCATTATGGAATGAGAGTTGGACCAGGAACCCATGTATAGATAGTTAAATAACCAAATGTTGTTTTGAAAGTATCTTTATTAAAACAATATAAAGAACAGAAATTCTAGGCTTATATATGCAAAAGAAGAATAACAGACAGTTAGAGGTGAATTGGCTTATTCAGCACTAACTGATTGCCCTCCTGTGCTGGACGGCCCCACAGGACCACATCTGCCCTGTGGAGTCACTCCCTGTCAGGAAGACTGGCTAGCCACAGTGAGAGGATCCTCTGGTTGGGGGTGCTAGTGCCATAAGATGAGACAAGAGGTGGCATCGTAGACAGGCTGCCCCACCCAGGGCCCAGGGAGGGTGTGCCTGGCAGGGACCAGGGGCAGGGCAGAGGCAGTGGGGAGAAGCAGGACCTGTGTGGCTTAACCATCAAGTTAGAGGGCACAGGAGGTGCTGTGAGGAAGTAGGAGCACATTGGGCGTCTACAGCCATCCGAGGTGCATTTTGGGGACCCATCTGGTCTGTCTGGAGCCTAGGCACAGCAGAGGCAGGGACCAGCAAGAGGGGAGCATGGGGATGGGAGGAAGGCTCCCCAGTCTGGGATATTCTGAAGGTACATCATCCGAGGCTATGGTTAGGAGGTGTGGACTTGGAGTCTCCAGGGCCCAGTCTGAGCTGCAGGATCTGAGTCACAGGAACCACTTGGGGCCTGCGAGGGGAAGAGCAGTGTCAGCAGTAGACTTGTGGGTTGGAGTTGCCACATGTCCAGGAGATGGAGATGCTGGGCACTAAGCAAAGCAGGTCTCTGTCCTCTGTGCGAGCACTCACATGGCTTGCAGCCTCCAGGCAGGCGCAGATCTTGGACTTGAACTCTGAAAGGTTGTCTTTTATCTGATGGTACTAAGTGGAGATTTGTAAATACAAAAACTTAGGCTTGATGGTAAATTAGACCCATGTCATCACTCTTCAACAAAGAAAGATATCTGTATAGAAATGTGCAGTTTTTCACTGGGCCTAGCACTTTATTTTTGCTCAATAATGCTATTAGTTCTCCTTGCTCCAAATTGGAAGAACTGCCTGGTGGGCCTGAGCTGTCTGAGCCAGGCTATGGGCAGTGGCCTATAGACAGAGTTACATCAGAATTGGAATGAGAGGCAGCTCTGTGTGCTCTGCCATCTGCTGTCCTCTGCAGCAGGGCAGGGGGTGGGGCAGGGAGGTGGGGCACTGTGGCAGGGAAGTGGAGCAGCGTGGCCTCAGAACCAGTGGGGTGTCCTGAGAACTAAGGGAGAATGGGCACTCAGCATTAGTGTAACCAGCATGGCCTGTGCCCTGGGTGCTACACAGAGGCCCTAAGACATAATGAGTGCCCTTACCCTTCCAGCCAGGGCCCATCACGGTGGCTTTGCAAGGTGTCACAGGAGAGTATACAAACATGACAAGAGAGTGAAGTATGCTGCACACAAAATGAAAAAATGAAATGGCCTGCTTGGGTCTCTCTTTCCTTCTTTTGAGATAAGTTAGGAACAAGGAGGTTGTGTTGCAGTTTGAGACTGAAAGCTCACAGGGTCCTGGCCCTCTGGGCTGTGCTGACCCTCACACTTGGGCCAGCTCTACAGCCCTGTCTCACTTGACCCAGGAGAGTGGGGGCCAGGCACTGGAGTGTGACTGTTAGCAGCCTTTCACCAGCCTAACCATGTCCCCTTGGTATGCCCAGGTCTGGACACCAGCCCACCAGCCAGCACTCATGAGCTCACCATTCCCAATGATGTGAGTATGCCCCCTGTACCCCCTGTCCCTAGGTGGAAACATCAGGCAAAAGTGGCGGTCAGCTCTGCTGTCCTTGGGCAGACTCCTGGGTGATCCCTTCACCACCCCAACCCCACTGTTTGATCTGTTTTCCCCCTCCTTTCCTTTTTAAAGTGGATTTAATGTCTGTAAAAGGTTATGTGCTTTTATATCCCTCAGATACTGAATAAGCAATGGGCTAAAGGGGACTTTATATATTAATTAGTAGTTAGATGGGAGTTGGACCGGGAACCCATGTTGCTGTGGAGGCACTGCCCTGGTACAAGGTCAAACCTTGAAGAACATGGTGACCCAGGAATGCTCTAGAGGGGACCCACTCTCAGTATCAGCTCCATGGGCCCTAACCCCTCAGGAGATTTAGGATTCTCCATGAGTTGGCTCTAACAGATTTGAAGTTGGTTGGATATCACCGACTTGTCTAGATTCCTTCTAGCACCCCTCAGTCTGTTCATGACTTCAACATACCTGAGGGTGTGGCCTTGTGAGCTCCCCTCAACACACTCAGTCCTCCCCAGAGTAAGCATGGATCTTGTGGAGAGGGAGGACTATTCTCTGAATGCTTGACTTATCCCCAGACTGACAGACCAGGGAGGGCATGGGCCACATGTTCTTGAGGGACAGCTGCTATAGCAGCAAGCAGAGTCCCTGTGTGGGCTGTGGAGATGGCAGCCCCACTTACAGTTCAAGTGTCCAGCGTCCCTTTCTGCCCTAGAGCTGTGGACTTTGGGAGCCTTCACTGTTCTGCCCCTTACACCTGCTGGGCAGGAAGTCTAAGCCCTGTTCCTTCCTTTCATGCAAGCTGACAATAGGAAGCACAGATTTGAGAGTTCAGGGAGATCACCAGTCCTGTGTGTGGAAGTGGATGGTTGAATGGGAGAAAAAGAAGCTGAAGATAGCAGGTAGCCAAAGGAGAGGACCATGAGGCCACCTGGCTGGCCACCATTGGCCACCATTGGCCACCCCTGAAGAGCCGTCTTCATTTGAGCCCCTTGTGGCAGTGCACACTCTAGGCCTTCTGTCCTGGCCACTGGTCAGCACAGAGTCCCCATGTCTGCTCACAGAAGCTCAGGACACTCACAGTCCAGGCAGCATTGTGGTACAGGCTTCTGGCATCCTCGAAGATTTCTGAGGTTGGCCCAACTTAAAAGGCAGCAGCACAGAGCCATCTCCCCAGGTGTGGGGTGCACAGCCACCTGGTCCCTGCATTGTTGGAGGGAGGAGACTTCTGCTTCTTACCCCCAGCCCCTTCTCTCACTGCAACGGCTCCATGAGCATGTGGTTTCTGGCATCCTCCTGTGTCTTCTCCTCCAGGTTGTAAAGCCAGCAGGTCTTCCCTGTGGGGTTTTCCTTTCTTGCTGAATCAGTGTTCACTAACACCAGCTTTGGTGCCCTCATCCAAGCACTCATTTAAAATGGAAATGAGCTTTAAGAGGACGAGGCATCTTTGGAGAGCTGGTTACCCTGTTTCCTGGGGTGTCCTTCATACAAACGGATGCTGGTTTTCCCAGCTCTTCACTACCCACTTGCCAACCTCCTCCTGGGGATCTTCCTAGGGAAGGGACCTGCTTCCCAGAAGGAAGGGAGCTTCATCTTATCCCGGGCGCTTTGGGCACAGCCTTCCATGCTTCTTTATGGAAAGGGCTGTTGACGGCACTGTCAGGGCTTTCGCTGCCAGCCCCAGATTTCGTGGGGAAATGTATCTGGGTTGCACCAAAGCTGATATTCCTCACTGGGTGGCTGCCTGCTACCTTCTTGGAGAAAAGGAAGAAATAAAATGTGTGCGCTTGTTCTGAACTTGCCTGTCATCTCGTCCACGCCTGTCTCTTGGTCACAATCGGATCATGCTCCCTCAGCTTGCCTGTAGAAAAACACTGCGTGGTGGCAGGGATGCCCGAGACAGGCTCCCCAGCACGGCCCCTGGGGACACAGGCCAGTCAGGGGACCCCAGGCCTTTGGCTCCCTGACAATCACCATGGGCCTCGCTCACCGCCTACTTCAGTGCTTGCTCTTGGCCATGCAGGCTCTGGTGCCTGTGGTCACCCTCACTCTGCCCTGAGCAACAGGCCCCCACCTGCCAAGGCTCATGCCCCTTCCCTGGTTCTCAGCTGCAGAATCAGCTGGGCCTTCTGCTGGAGAAAGTCATGTAAGGTGGCAACAGTGGTCTCTAGGAGGAGAGGCAGCAATGGGAGGTGTTGCCGCAGTTCCAGTGGGATTTGGCATTGACATCTGATTAGGAGGGGCCACGTTATTTCGGAATATTTCTATTGTTCTTCTTTGAATTTGCAATGGAGGTACATAAGGGTGAGAGGAGGAGAGGATTCTGCTAACTGCTGGCAGGGTGTGCAGGTGCAGGTGGGGAGGAGTCTGCTCACTGCTGGCAGAGTTCAAAGGTGCAGGTGGAGGAGTCTGCTCACTGCTGGCAGGGTGTGCAGGTGCAGGTGGGGAGGAGTCTGCTAACTGCTGACAGGGTGTGCAGGTGCAGGTACAGGTGGGGAGGAGTCTGCTCACTGCTGGCAGGGTGTGCAGGTGCAGGTGGGGAGGAGTCTGCTCACTGCTGGCAGG